ATGTATGTACATATATGTATGCATGTATGCATTCGCCCCGGACCTTCGCATTCAAGAGGGTCGCCTAGGTGTAGAGGAGGTGGCACTTTACTTCGAAATCCATACATAAATCAGTTTTTGTCGTCATTCAGAACCAAACCCTAATCCCTAGACAGCTCAGGTTGCAAGACTACTGGCCTGCCAAGTAAAAGCACAAAAACTTCCCTGGCCGCCCTACCCGGATGATTGCCAGTGGCTAAATTTCTCAGCCTGGCAACTGAGTGTTGAAGAGCTGAACCAGGACTTAGGGCTTCAGGGTTTACGATTCGTTATTTAAGGACTACTGGACTTTAGGGCTTTAGGGTTCGAGAGTCTTTCTTGAAGGATTCTGGATTCGGGGTTGTGGGACTGACAACCCTCAACCCTAAACCCTAAACCGACTGAGAGTTGGCGCTTCAAGGTAAGAGGGTAATCAGGATACGCTGCGCAGAAGAGTTGCACTCCCCGGCTCGTCCTACGAGAGCGTGTTAAGCATAAAGATCCCGGACTTCTTTGAGACTTAGTAGCTGAGTGGATACACTTTACACTTTTTGGGATAATGTTACCCACTGTAAAACTGAAACTGTACACGTTTTGGTGGCTTATGAACTCAGCAACTAAGGAGAGCGTCGCGTCGTTGGAGGATCTGAGGTCAGCCGGCTTAGCGGCAGCAGCGGCATTGTGCCAAGAACAGCCATGGGATAGGGCAGCGTTTTCTTGGCAGAGAGTTGTCCCTGGTACGATCACGCGCGGTCGCGACTAGGCCGTTGTAGAAATTGTGTTTGTTACTTTGCGGTCTGCTCTCAGGAAGCAGCAAAGCTCAAGCTGTAACCCTAAACCCTAAATCCTAAACCGAGATATAGTCCCGGCTCAGGCGAGGAAGGGGTTGTTGAAGGATTATCGAAGGCAATGCGGTGGGTAAAGACTCTTAGACAGCTGATGGGAGAACTTTATGCTTGTTGGCCGTATATGTTTGTCTATCGATCTATAGGGTTTAGGTATATGTTTGGTCTATCGCATAAAGATTGAACTGTTTTGGGCCCGGTTATTGAAGAAGGGAGCTGAGGACTACTTGGATGTCATGGGCCATCCGAACTGGGTCAGCGGATTTGACAACTGCGATCTACCAGTGCCTGTTGGAGGAACACCGTCTCTTGGATGCTCAGGAAACCTTGAGACCCCCAACGCCACAGAATATGGAGGTCAGAATACCTTGTAAATACTCCTCCCTTGAGGGTTCCTGATTTATATTTACAAATATATGTTTATTTATTTGTTTATTTACTTACTATTACATAACATACGGTAATATATACGCATCTACTTCTTATTGCTACTACATTACCCCAAACCCTTCACTTTTAACCCACAGCCCTTGAACCCGAAGCGGCTTGACTGCAACGTTCGAACGCACAAGATGTCCTAGACTCTAGACATTATGTTACGCTATTAGAAATTTTGACTTTCATTTTGTTTGTTTTGCTAGGGTCCCGCTGTCGTCGTATCAGGTTCATAGCAGGAGCCTAAAAAATAATGAAACATAGCTATGCATGATTACCCCAAGCAAGGTGAGCACTAAACTCGGTGCTCCTCACTCCCTAAATTAATTATCCCTGTTGCACAATGGCATACAGCCAAACTCTACTTTAATTTTGTTAAGGCCCCTATATTATGCCAGCCGGACAAAGGCAAGTCTTTGTTTGGACACTGGCACGTCCTGGCGGACATCGACGCGTCATCGATTGCTCTGGCCGGGGATGCGTGGGATGCTGTCACGAAGATGTCAGGTGAGCGAGGGTCAACTGCAAAATAAAAGCAAGCGCCTTGAACTTTCCAGTTTCGGGCAGTGTGTTAGGTTAATTACCGTTGAGCACTACCGAGCAATCTCCATCAAGATTTGGTGTTTTCGGTGAACAAGAATGTTGCTTACGGTATTTCCAGCTGGAAACACTAAACCCTAAACCCTAAACCCTAAAGTCTAAACACTACACCTCAAGAACCAGCCCGAACATGTTTGTGTCTTCTGCAGAGCTGCAGTGGGAGGTAAGATTACAAGATCCTGACTGCTTCCTAAGCCCCAGACCCTAAGCACTCAACCCTACACCCCTAGCCCCTAGTCCCTAAACCCTTAAGCCCTAAGCCCTAAACCCTAAACCCCCTAAAAAAAACAAACTAAACCCCTAATCCCTACAGCCCCTGTTCTCTGGAAACTTCCAGGTCCTGTTGTGGGTAGGGTACTATGAAAGTAGGAACTTGGAGGTTCATGGGGGTTCAGGGTTTAGGCTTGGGTTTAGGGTTTAGGGTTTAGGGTTTAGGGTTTAGGGTTTAGGGTTTAGGGTTTTGGTTTAGGGTTTAGGGTTTAGGGTATTTAGGGTTTAGGGTTTAGGTTGTATTTCGGGTTACAAGTAGGGTACCTATAATTATACCCTATGTTTGGGGAATTGTAACCCCGCTTATAACTACCCATGTCCAGACAATCTAACCCGCTAGCTTCAAATCCCAGGCTTCAAACGCCAAACAGCCAAACTCCGAAGCCCCTAAAAGCCTGAACCTTCTTATGTCTTATGTACAGAGCAGTTCTAGAGCTTGATTCTTATAGAAGCCTGGATAATTGTCTAGGTCCTTATCAGAAGCATAGTATCATAGGTCCCAAAACTGTATTATACATAAGGGTACTGCGGGGATTTAGGGTTTAGGGTTTGGGTTTACAGGGTTTTAGGGGTTCGGGGTGAGAGATGTTGAGAGCTTTGTGCTTGGGGCTTAGGGCGTAGAGCTTTGGTTGTAGGGTTTAGGGCTCTTCAACCTCTCAGCCTGTCCTCAAATCGAAAAACACCCGAAACCAGACGCATGATGGCTCCTCATGGGCCCAATAACCTATTGTTTATACCGGGTGATATCCTACCGTTTTGTAGGATTTGGGGTACATGTAGCAAAAGGTGCATTTTTGGGGGATCGATGTTCGATCTGCTTCAGGTCAGTTAGGATTTAGGGTCTAGGGCCCCTGCTCCAGGTCAGTTTGGCTTTGATCCGCTCTCTTGGCTGATGGCGGTTGGTAGCCTCTCCAAAAAAATGCCACAGGCTCTTGTGACAGCCGCACTCGAGCATGGATCCAACACGCGCCTCGCCTGTCTCGCCATGAGTTGCGCACAGGGAGACCAATATTTTTCTAGGTAGGACCCCTACACCCTAAGCCCTAAACCCCAGAAAACCTAAACCTCTTATTGGGCTGAAGAGGGTCTTATAGAAGCTTTCAGGTTTTGAAGGGCCAACCTAGTTTCTTTTAGGACATACACAAGGCTTCTTTACGGTATCTTTATAGTGTCTTGCCGGCTCTTTTAGGGTTTTTACAGTCCTACGCAGCATACATGTTCATCATAACAAGTGAAAGTGTGTCTCTGTAGTTTGGGTGAAGATAACCCTAAACCCTAAACCCTTAACCTAAACCCTACACCCTAACCCCTAAACCCTAAAACCTAAACTCTAAGCCCTCAACCCTAAAC